TCTATGGATTATAAATTATGATCAAGTCTTTAATGACAGGAAAGGAGGAAACCATCTGTGAGAGAACTCTCAGTTGATTTTTTATTTAATCATCTCTTCTCTTTAATTTATAGCTTTTACATATCCAACAATTGTTTCAACAGACCTTCAAGTCACACGAAAGTTAATTGCCTTAAAATTTTGTATCTTTATGAGGATCCTCACCAGAATGGCTTCACAGCTCAGAGAAACCTTTCAAGCTGAGTCACCAGTAAATGAGCTTGAACTAGACAACCTAGAGATTATTCCAAACCAGGTTTCTCCTGTGCAGTGGGAAGAAGACATGTCTAACACCCCAAATGCTCATCCTAAATTTCCCCCCAAAACAGTGGCTCCTGTGCAAAGCAGGAGCTTCAAACTCTGTGGGAGATGTTCACCTCCTGGTTGCAGCCAGAAAAACAGAGCAAGGAGCAGATGATTTCTCAATTGGTCATGGAGCAATTTCTCAAAATAGGGTGCTGCAAGGACACGTTTGCAGTGATAGAAAAGTGGGAATCAAGTAGCAGAGACATGGGGAGATTCATGGAGAGTCTGACTGATGAGTGCTTAAAGCATCCTGTCATGGTGAGTACCTGGGGTGAGAGATGAATGAGTTGGGAGGTGACTGTCATTGCATTTGGGAATAAATAAGAAGTTGTAGTTAGTGAGATTATTTAAATTTTATTTTTGTCGTTTTCCTCATTTATCTTTATTAGTAAAATTTTTCACTCATTACAAAGTGGTTGCAAAGGAGAATATCCAGTGCTCTAAACTATCATGAATAAAGCAGAAACAAGGGTATCAATTGTTTGTGGGTCATAATTAAATTTAATTTAAATTGAGATAGAGATTGAAGGGCTTACATTTGCCCAGATCCATTATGGCTTTAGAGGAGATGCTGTGGGTATGTGCCCTGGCTCAGACACAGAGGTGCCAAAATTGTATGAATCTTGAAATTGAGTTGAAAATCTGGCTAAAAAAATGACACCTAGAACTTGGCCATGATTCCTGGATTAGGGAGGAAGAAACTGGGAAATGAAGTAGATACTTGGCTTTTCAAGTTATTTATTCCATGTCAGAACATACCTGTCTAAATTACTGAGGTGTCACAATGGCAGAGTCAGAATTCTTTTTTTCCCTCCCTCCCTCTTTCCTCCCAACCTCCCTCCTTCTCTTCCTTTCTTTCTTCCCTCCCTCCTTCAAGTTTTTTTGTGTTTTTATAGACAAGATTCCCCAAATGCTATGGAGCTTATTCTGGAACTATTTCTGTAGACCAGGCTGACCTTGAAGTCAATTTGAGGCATGATTTCATATTGTAGTGCTCTTTGGCCCACTATTCTGAACTGCTGCATTAAAGGTTATCAATGGCTAAACCCTGTTATTTGTTTGAATTTATTACTCTGTAAACAGGTTCACATTTCACAGTTTGTTTTAGTCTTCAGTGCGTCACACCTGCACTTTGTTTTTTATTGATAATTTTATTACTGTAACTGAATTCCAAGTAAACTGATACCCGAATGATGAGTCATGTTCCTAAGAGCAGAGACAATTTGCAATTTGTGGACCTAATGTATATGTTAGTCAAGTTCATACAGGCATTAGTTCTGTTAAATACTCAATAATGAATCAACAACAAACAACAATTTAAAGCTTTATTTTAAAGGCATCTTTGGTAAAGGGTGGGTTGTCTAGGGCTAGTAGTCAATGGGACAGACAACAAATTATACCTAGTGCAAATAAAGACCATGAACACAGCACAGTGAAATGTAAGGTAGACAGGGAGAGAACACTGACAGAATAATGGGTGGAGATAGGGGATCAGAAAGCCTCAGAGATCTGAGAATGACAATGGATAAGAACATGAGGTTCAAAGACAGAAATAGCAATAGCAAATCTGAGGCTAGGATGCCAAAATGGCAGGTACTCCAGAATTACAGTTGAGTTTCTGAGGATTCCAGATAGAAATTAACAGTTACCTCTTGTTAATCCCACTGAACAAGAATAAAGATCATTATCCATAGTTTTGATTTTTTGTTTTTGTCAAATTCAGCAAGATTTATACTGTTACATGGGACTGTCATCCAGAAACTAGCTTTGAGAAAAATAGCAGTAAATACAGGAGAGACAGAGGGGGGGTTCAATAGCTTAACAAACATTAAGACTAGTGGTAACCCAGGGGTTGGGGGACTTTTTAGTTTACATAGAAATTTTACAGAACATTTCATAATGATTTGCCAGAACATCTTATCAGGGTGAAGGTCAGGATATAGCAACAGTATAGGTTGCAGAATATGCTAAACTTCAGAAAATTGTTCAAGAAATAGTTACATTCAAATTTTACTGACAACAGCTATGAAGTTCTTTTTGACATTATGATTCCATGGCATCTAATCTTAAGATGGAATCAGTCCAGTCTATCATTGATCACAGCTGGAGGCTAAAGCAGCTGCTCTTTCTGGAGTAGCTTTGCCATGAATCAGAAAATGCGTATGGATATCCCAAGCTTCCTGGGGGCAAATGAATGATTGAAAAAAGGAAGTTACAAATTGATGACAAACTGAAATTCGAGGCATATAGACATTGTTTAAAAGAGTCTAACTTTATCAGAACAGGAAGATAAATATAGTCAAGGGAATAAAAGGATCTCCAGTTATGAGAGACCACCTAGGGAATTTTACCCTTTCCTTGGGACCCTCCCCCTCTTTCTAATTGGTCCTAAACTGCATTATATTCTTTTACCCAAGACATTTATTTGGTATTATTTGAAATATTACTGTTATGATTTATAGGGTGGGGGAAATCCCTGGACAAATTAGCAGCTGTTCTTAAAGGGGCAAGTCCCTATTTGCAGATTGGCCTAATTTCATCTGATCCTCCTTCAATGCACTGATCAGTTGAGGAAAATATTCTGACCAGAATTATAGAAACCTAATGCTGTTACTTCCCTAGGTACAGTGACTTAACACTTTCAAGCACATGTAAATAGTGACTTCAGGGAACAGAACCTGTAGATGCCAGGATAACATCAATAAGGGACACACATATGAGCTAAAACATAGTTCTGGTATTCCATGCAATCAACTGAGGGCAGGCTTTCTCTCATCTACAGATTCATTGTTAATGGTCATCTGGCTTTGTTTCCAGGTTCATTTCTCCATGCAGGGACAGGAAGCCCTCTTTCCTGAGAACATGTCCTTAAAAGAAGTCATCAAGCTTTTGAAAGAACAGCAATCACTAAGAACTGCAAAACAGCAGAATGTAATGACACCCTTGCAGTTCCCACAAGACAATTTATTGGCAACGGGTGAGCAGGGAATCTGGACAGATAATGGATTTTGTAAGATGATATCTTTTCCTGGACACAGTTTCATAAACTCTTATTTCCACAAGTCACGAAAACAGTAAAGATGGCCAAAACACATTCTTGAAAGGTCATGAAACAAATAGTGTTTTTAGTAGTTCTGAAAATGGGATGGACTCCCAACTCATTACTCAGACTGGGAAATATCCTCAGCCTGAAGAGGCAGGTGTTTCTTATGAAGTTCCTCTGGATCTCAGCAGAGCAAGTCAAGGTACCTCCATGTACAGGGCAGAGCCCCTAAGGGCACCTTCTTATGAACATGTCACTATGTTGTGCAACCAGTGTATCTCTCCTGCACATACAAGTCTGAAGAACCTGAAGATGGCCACGACATTATCTTGACCACAGCTGATGTAAATAGTGATATTTACAAATCAGAGAGATTCCCTTCTCATAATCCAGAGAGGGCAGTATCCTGAGCCTGAACAGAGAGGTGTTTCTTCCGGAGTACTCAGGGATTCTGCAAGAGCGATTTGGGACACATCCAGGTCCCAGGCAATGTCCCTAACAACCCATTCTTCTGGACATATATTTAGGGAGATACCAGGGTACCTCTCTAGGACAGAGCAGCCCACCTCTGAACGTGTTCCTCTTTTGAAGTGGCATAAGGGAAATTTTGTATTTGAGGGTCATCAAGAAAGACTCCAGAGTGATTTCAAACCATACAAATGTGAGGAATGTCCCAAGACCTTCAGATATCCCTGTAACCTCTCAGTCCACCAGAAAAGTCACAGGGTGGAGAAGTCATTTTTCTCTACCCATGGTCAGACAGGTTTCTATGAAAGCACAGACCTCCGTGTTCCTGAGGCCATACCCAAACCAGAGAAACCTGTCACATGCAGCACATGTGGAAAGTCTTTCAAACATAAGACCCATCTACAGAATCATGAGAGGATTCATACAGGAGAGAAGCCCTATACCTGCTCCCTGTGTAACAGTCGGTTCCGTCAGTCATCTACCTAAAACCGTCACCTGAGGAATTACCACAAATGAGACTGAACTGTTTACCTTCCTCAGCAGAGGTTTGCTGATTTACAGCCTGAGTGTGTCATCTGCACATGAAGAGGCGTGTAGTTTTTAACAAACATTTAGCCAGACAAGATCTGTCACGTACCTTATGGATTGTTCGTTCTTTCTGTTCTTCCATCCCATGGGCATGCGAGTGTAAAGGGGAGGAGTAATATGATATTTTGTTTTCTAATGTTTGCCAAATGCCTAAAAATAACTTGTTTTATTTCTAAGTAGTAAATAAATGTTTCTGCTTCTGTGTTTTGTGTATGGAGTGCTCTTGTGTGTTTTCCTGGGTCCCTCTGTGATTCCACATTTTGTAACAATGTTTCTCTTACTAATTTGTACTCCATGTTAGGAAATGATGTAGATCTCTTAGTGATGGAGAACCCTTCCCATCACACACCTGCAAGGCTAGTGCTTCCTCCCACATCCTGTTTAGGGACAAGTCATATGCAAACACTGGTTTTCACAGTGAGAAAGTTTATTGAATGGAAAGAAAAGATAAAGTGATTGCCATCTTACAGTGGCAGAAAATGCAGCAAATGTACTTGAATTGTAATGTTTATGAGAAGAACAGAATGTCTTTGATATAATGGGCTAACATGTGATGGCAAAGTTATAATGGACAAAGGGGAAAGAAGGCAGATGTTTCTGCCCCAAAGAGGGACACAGGACTGCCTATGGATAGAGAGAAGACAGCTGTGACCCAAAGGAAAATAACAGTTTATTTAGGTTCCAGGGGAACCATAATTAGAATGAGGTATTTAATTTGGATTGGGCATGATAATTAGCTAAGCCAAAGTTGCTTTTGATTAATGGACAATGATTTGTTGATAGCAGGGACTTGGTAGTTGTGTTCAGGAGAAATATGTGGCCAAATAAGGGAATAAATCTTAGTGGCTAGCTTTAGGAAAGTAATGATATGGTTTTTAGCAAGACAGAGGGAATGGGGGTAAGGGTGAGGCTTGCCAGAGTCATTTGTTCCAGTTGCCTAGTGTCCCTTCACACCTCTTACCAAGCTGATACGACGAATTTCACTGCTACTGGACTTGCCTTTCAAAAAAGTATTTTATATGTGTGAGCTTCAGGGTATATGTATGTCACGAGTGAAGAAGCACTTATGTGTCAGCAGGACCATGAGGTAACCATAATTTTATTTATGTTAATTTGTTTGGATTAGAGCTTGTTTTCAAGGGGATATAATCTCACTTTGCAGCAGTGATTTTACATTTCTGCATTGTATTTCCTTAAGTCTTGGTGATGCTCATCCTCTGGTTTCTGCTGGCACTCACAAGCATTATCCCCAGGCACACATATATGAAAACAAATTGATTACTAAAGTAAAATAATAAGTAAAATGAATAAAAAAGTCTTAAAGTACATAATTGTTACATATTTTAAAATTTAATAACACATTCTAAGTATAATTGTAAAATATTTTGGTTGTTTTTCTGAGTGAATTTCAAATTTGGTTGTTTAAAATCAGAAATTATTTCATTATTTGAAAATTGTTTGAAAAATTATCTCAAATCATAGGGTTTAGCCAGAACCAATGAAAACAATCTTTTTTGAAATTTCTTTTTCTATCTTTATTATCCTTGTCGTAACCATTGTTACTTTGCTTTGTATTTTTTTCATAGAGGATTTCTCTTTGCATAGCCCTAGATATCCAGGCACTGTATCTATAGACCATGTTAGCCTTTATTTCATAGATCTGTCTGCCTCTGCCTCTTCAGTCCTAGCATCAAAGGCTTGTTTCACTACATAATGTGAAAACATTAAACTTTATTAAGTGTATCCAATAATATTCATTGAAATAATAGAGAATGCATCTGTTATTAAAAGTGATTTTTATTGATTATTTGGGAATCTCACATCAAGTACACCAATTATGCACAATTCCAATTCTTCCCTTATCTGCTCCCTCCCCAGTAACCCTCCACTACACTCCCAAAAATAAACACAACAAAAACCAAGTTCATCTGTGTTGTCTATACACACTGGAACATAGTGAAATCCCTAGAGGCCAAACCCTGATTAGAGCATGAGTCTTTATCTCCCTTCATCTATGCCAGAAGCTATGAACTGGAGTGAATTCTGGTTTGGTTAGAGCAGGGAATGCCAAATCTCCCATACCCACACCTACACTTTCAGCAGCATGCTGTGGCCAGTGAGTTGTGGGTCTAAGTCTTCTCATAGAGATTGGGCTGATATTATCTACTTCTATAAAGACCAAATTTTCAGACATCAGTGAGACAGCTAAATAAAGAAAGGAAAAATTATGATTATTTTATTTAAACAACCCATGAAATAATTTCCAGGGTCTGTTGACACTATCAATTTTTTACTTATTAAAGATGTATGAACATTGTTCTTACAAACTTGGCAATGGGAATTTTCCTCTTCTTCCAGACTTCAGTGGTTAGGTTTGGCAATTCCTTCAAGCTATTTTATTATGCCATTTGTTTTTCATTAGAAGCATTGAATCACAAAAGACCTGTCTTTAGTCAACTGCTTGTCTATCATCTCAAAAGGAATTCCACAGACAATGTCAGATTTTGTATTTAAGTACATCCTGGATGACTTTGGATGTACAATTTTAATGCATATTTACCAAATAAACATCTCTGGCAAGAGTGCCCACTTCCATTTGCAAGAAAAATATGACTTGA